AGCTCACCAGCTCTCCCTCCAGCCCTCTCCAGGGACCACTCCTCTCGCTAAGGAGAGGTAGACCCTGGCACTGTACCCCAAAAGCTAGAGCAGGGTGCTTACAAACCCAGCCTCTCCAGCTAACCCAGGGGGGCCTAGCTTTGCCTCGTCCACCCCTAGAGCTGCAGGCTGAGCTGAGTTTTTGACACTAGCAGGGCTAGCCAGGAGATGTGTAGGGCATCCCAGGAAAATGGGGTAAAACAACCCCAATGAAGTGGAGGTGAGTTCTAGTGCTCCAGAGAACTGATGACTTGTGATCCCACACTCCCCAGCCCAGGGTCAGTTCACTAGTGCAAAATGTTGTAAACGAAAACGCAAAGTGAGGCTGTGCTTCAGTTGCAAAGTACGGAATCCGCTCTCATTGGAAACACTGAAGAAACTGGCGAAGGTCAGATTTCAAGAACGACTCCCAAAGCCACACTGTAGAATGGGCCGTGTGGGACCCTGCTACCCCTGCTTCTGTGCTCAGGGCCCAAGTTGAGAAGCTGCCACTAACTGCCAGTTCCAGAAGGAAGCAGCCACACCATGATAGGAATTTACCACTGCCATTGCCAGGAAGCGCCCGTTCAGTCAGGAACTACCTCCACAGTCAGGATGTCTTCCCGCTGTCAGGAAGTCACCCTCGCCACCCCAACAGTCAGGAAATCACTCCCACGATCAGGCAGTCACTCCCACACTCAGGAAGTCACCCTCGCCACCCCAACAGTCAGGAAGTCACTCCCACACTCAGGAAGTCACCCTCATCACCCCAACAATTAGAAAGTCACCCCACAATCAGGCAGTTACTCCCACACTCAGGAAGTCACCCTCACCACCCCAACAGTCAGGAAGTCACCCCATGATCAGGAAGTCACTCCCACACTCAGGAAGTCACCCCAGGATCAGGAAGTTACCCTCACCACCCCCACACTCAGGAAGTCACCCCCACACTCAGGAAGTCACCCCACGATCAGGAAGTTACCCTCACCACCCCCACACTCAGAAAGTCACCCCCACGATCAGGAAGTCACCCCCACAGTCAGGAAGCCGCTGTTGCCCCAGACCCATGCTGTACCTGCTGGGGTCCACAGTGGCAAAGTGGACACCCAGAAGCTAATGGCTGGATGGTGGGGCTCTGGCCAAAGTTGGGCTACCTGCAGAAACAATCACAGCCTCTGCCTTCTCACGTGTCCTTCTGACAGGAAGAGCCAAGACTGAATTTGGAATCTTCGTTGCAAAGGTGCCTGAGGAAGGTCACTGCTAGCTCCCCAGCCTCTGTGGCTAGCAGGGCATCCAGAGGAGGCTGCTTGTGCAGACCACAGTTTGTAATGAAAGTGGGTAACGGGGAGCAATGAACCACTGTGGGTCTGGGAAGCTGATCCTACAGAAGTAGTCTTAGAAACCAAACTGGATGAGCGTTAGCCAAACAAGAAGAATCGAATTTGCATGCCTGCAACCCTCTGCATACAAAACAGTCACCTGGGAAGACCATCCCTGGCAGATCCGTGGTCCCCTGCCTCTGAGGCTGACTCAGTGGGACTGAGGTGGCACCTAGATCTGCTGTCAACACCCACCCTCTTTGTGCTCTTGATAAAAATGTTCCAGTGTCCTTTAAGTGCATTCTGTTCTTCCTTGATACAAATCAAGTCCCATGAGGTCTTCTTAGTGTCATTTCAGAGAAGAGGAAGTGACGTTCTTCTGTTGCCCAGCCCGCCCTCCCATGTGTCTGTGGCCTTCTGTCAGGAGCTCTGAGTAGAGCACTGTTCCCACTGCTCCTTTCAGTCAGGTGAGAGAAAGAAAAACAGGAGCAACCAGGGCTTCCACGTCACCTCCCTGGGCCTGTTTCCTCCGCTCTGAAGAGAGGGATGGGCCACATTTAATAACCTCCTGGTTGGCAGGGAAGCCGCCTTTCCAGAGCAGGAGAGGGTGTGTGTGTGTGTGTGTGTGTGTGTCTGATCAAAGCTCGGCTACCATGGTTTCTTCGGGAGGGTACCAGACTTTCCCCCCACTCCGTGCCCTTCCCTCATGCTTTCAGGCACTTCCATGTTGTTAAGTGCCCTAGAGTTCATTTTAATCCATAGCAACCCTGTATAGGGTTTCCAAGGAGCGGCTGGTGAATTTGAACCACCAACCTTGCAGTTCAAACTGACTTTGCAATCCAGCACATTATCCTGTTGCACCACACCAGGGCTTACTTTAAAAACTCACTTTAAAAACCCAAATGATTGCTTTGTTGTTGTTATTAGGTACCATTGTGTTGGTACTGACCCTTAGTGACCCTATGCACAACAGAACGTAACACTGCCCGGTCCTGGGCCAACCTCACAATTGTTGCCACGTTTGAGTCCTGTGATGCTGCCACTTTGCCAATCCATCTCACTGGGGGTCTTCCTCTTTTTCTCTGACCCTCCACCTAATCAAACATGATATCCTTCTACAGCAACTGGCCCCTCCTGACGGTATGTCCAAAGTATGAGAGATGAAGTCTGGCCATCCTGGCCTCCAAGGAGCATTCTGGCTACACTTCTTCCAACACGGATCTGTTGGTTTCTTTTGGCAGCCCATAGTACTTTCTACATTCTCCTTCAACACCATAACTCAATGCATCAATTCTTCTACGGTCTTCCTTATTCACTGTCCAGCTTTCACATGCATATGAGGTGATTGAAAATACCAAGGCTTGGGGCAGGCACACCTTATTATTGATTGCTAAGTAGCAGGATATTCCTGGTTTGAGGCTCACAGGCAGGTGCTGTTTTTCTTGAGCCGGCTCACATCCCAGTGAGCTAGGTAGTTGTGTCTGAAGGGGAAGAGCTGGTGGGGCTGTCTCTGGGAGTCCAGGGGGTTGGGGTGTGGTGGAGGGAAGAAGGGCGGGGAGGGGGTTAATGCTGGACATTTAAGAAATAGAAGAATTGGCTGCCAGCCCGGGCTTGTGGATACCATTCTAACTGCCTGTTTCTTACATCCTGTTCAGCCCAGAGGAGACATTTGTTAGAATTTAAATAGAACAATTCTTAAAAGGAGAAAGGAGAACAGAGCCCTTTGGGAGGGGTGACCCAGGGGACGGTCCACTCTGTTGGGCCTCCATGTTGGGAGTGGTCGCCATAAAATTCCCTTGTGCACACACACCCTAAGTCCTACCTGGGCAGACTGCACACACCTGTGCTGCTGCTGCTGTTGTGAAGTGCCATCGAGTCAGTTCCGACCCATAGCGACCCTGTATAGGATTTCTGAGGAGCAGCTGGTGAGCTTGAACCGCCGACCTTGAAGTCCAGCACATTAACCCACAGTGCCATACATGTGTCCACACACTGGTGTCTCACACCTAGGTGGCCACTGATACATCCCTGACAGGTACCAGCATGGGCACATCCTGACAGGCCGGAAAGAGGCATGGCATTATGCCTACTGAGGCAACCTTCACCCAGAATTTTAGAAAATGCTGTGTGGTTTTGGTTGAATGGTTTAGAGTGATTTCTGTTATGCTTCGCCTTAATCCTCAGAGGAGCAGAAACGGTCTCGTTAAGATCCATTTGAATTGGGTAAGCTGCCTATTAACAACCAAGCTATTGTGTGCCTGCTGTAAAGTCACACCACACCAAGTGTCTCGTCAGTGGAGGTGAACAGAAGAACCACCAACTTGTGTGAGCAGGAAGGAAACCGTGACTGCCATGCCCAGGAAGAGGTTCGAGTGAGCCAGTCTGTAAATGAGCCCGCCTGTCAGAATACAGTTCCTTTTTCTCTGGCTTTGCCTGATTAAGGGCATTGCCTGTCGCCAGCCAGAAGAAGAAGCACACTATCCCAGTCCTTGGGAAGCAGTTTCTGGAGAGGGAAGGATGAGACTAACCAAGTGAAGCCCAGCAAAAGTATGGGGCACAGAGCATCAAAGACCAGAGGTTCAGGTGGGGCTTCTCAAAGGAGTCAGTCTCTAGAGAATGGAAAGAATTAGAAGGCAGAACTAGTCATTGTTAGGTGCCATCGAGTCGACTCTAACTCATAATGACCCTATACACAACAGAACGAACACTGCATGGTCCTGTACCATCCTCACAATCATTAAGCTCGAGCCCGCTGCTGCTGCCATGGTGCCAATCCATCTTGTTGGGCGTCTTCTTTTTTGCTTTACCAAGTGTGGTGTCCTTCTCTAGGGACTGGTCCCTCCTAATAGCATGTCGGAAGTATGAGAGACAAAGTCACCATCCTGGCCTCTAAGGAGCACTCTGGCTGTACTTTTCCAGCACTGATGTGTTTGTTTGAACACATATTGAGCTTTAACTAGGTGTCAAGCACTGTACAGAGCATAGCGCTTGTCATTTCACTCTCCAAACAGCCATGTGCTATTATTGTTTTCCTTTACGAGTGTGGAACTTGAGGTCTGGGTGATGAAGTAAAGCCAGAAAGCTAGTGAATGCTACAGTATGATTAAAACCACATCTGGCCGAGGCCAAATCCCTTCAATATTACACTGTGGGACAACAGGCTGAAACACATGAATTGGAAGAATGAAACCCCTTCCTGTCCAGGACTGGCCACTGATGGTCTAAAAACCAACCAAGTCATCTCCGATTTATGGCGACTTTGTGTGTCAGAATAGAACTGTATTCCATAGAGTTTTCAGTGGCTGATTTTTCAGAAGTAGATCTCCAGGACTTTCTTCTGAGGTACCTCTGGATAGACTCAACCCCCCAACTTTTTGATTAGCAGCCAAGAGCACCCAGGGATGCCCCCGATAGTTTAGGAGCCAGTTTTTGTAACTGTTGCCTCTGCTAATTATAGCTACACCTTGTTTTCTGTCTCTCTTCCTCGTTTGTCGGTGCCCCTACGGGCTCCTGGAGGCAGCGGAGCCCTGGCTCTGGCTGCAGTCTGAGTTCTTCCCTTGCTTGATGGTTTTCAGAGTTGTCATTTGGTTGTTATTCACAGATGAGTCTTACTATAAAGACCTGTATATTAAAGAGTGGCCTGTGTTGACCCATCTGTTACAGACCACAGTCATTGACTATGTGAAGCCCTCTGATCTCAAGAAGGACATGAATGAGACCTTCAAGGAGAAGTTTCCACACATTAAGTTGACACTCAGCAAAATAAGGAGGTACGTGAGGACTGCCTTTCATTTGAACTTTCCCTTCAGACTTTCTCCAGCATGTACTGAAAGCTCATATTGGGTAGGATGATTCTTCCTCTTTTTCTGGGGACATGAAACATGATCCTGTTCACTAACAAGAGGGTGGTCCCATGCTGGCTAACCTGTGCCTGGACATGGTAGGAGAGCTAAGGGAACCAGAACAGGAAGTTGGATTTACCCTGGATCTGATGGATGTTCCTTTGGGGAAAGGGTCCTTTCATTGTATGTGACTCACCAATTGAGACAAATGTAGACAAAGCCGAAGAGAAAAGAGTTAGTAAAGCAGGTTTGGAATAAGCCGTCACCCTCAGTAGTCTGTTCAGAGGCAGCAGTCAAGCCCTGTCTTTCTGTAGTCACCAATGCCAGGTCCTTGCTTCGTGGACAGCTGATTAAATTGACATTCGGTATGCTGGGCCCAAGAGGAGCTGATCTATATCTTTGCATGAGTGTTTTTGTTTATGGTGTAAGCTAAACTGTACACAGACAGGATGCTGGAATATGTTTGCACAAGTGTGTGTCTAATACTGACTCGATTCTGGTGTATTCGAAGTCAAAGAGGAGAGAAAAATAAGGTCCTGGTGTGACACTGTGGGTTAATGCACCAGACTGCAAAGCCGTTTGAACTGCAAGGTCAGCAGTTCAAGCTCGCCAGCACTCCTCAGGAACCCTATACAGGGTTTCTATGGGTCGGAACTGACTCGACAGCATTTAACAACAACAACACTTTGCTCACTGCTAGATAGCCTTTGTAAATACATTGGTCTTTATACTCTTCTTGTTGTTAAGTGCCGTCTAGTCATTTCCAACTCATAGTGGTTTCTGTGGAGCAACTGAAGAGTTTGAACTGCCAACCTTGTGGTTGAAACTGACCTTGCTGTCCAGTGCTTATCCCACAGTGCCACACCAGGACTCCTTTATGCTCTCATTTTGTTCCAGTTAAAGAATACAACCAATACTTGGCAGAGCCTATGCCAAATACTTTATCTATTTCTACATTCTTTCCTGTAATAATTGAAGTTGCCCAAGCAATTTCTCTCTCAAATTTAGATGCTCTGCTCCTAGGTCCCAGAGTCAGCTCTTGAGCACTCGATTGTATTGTCATGTCTATTAGGACCCTGGCTCCTCTGCAGCCTGCCTGGTCTGCTCTTCCTTCCGCCACCATCTCTGGCAGTGGGGATGGTAGCACCACTGAGCTGTTGGGCCTGAGGCCAGAAGAGTAAACAAGGCCTGTTTGACTGCAATGACTCAGTAGAGTCAAAAGCCCCAGCCTATAATGCAGCTTTTACACTCCTGCGGATATAATCCCATTTCACTTCACCCTTCTAAGAATGGAAAGGGAAAATGCTTTCCAGCTAGGATGGTCTGCTTCCCATGTACCCCCTGAAAGTCCCAAGTTCTAACCAGACTTACTCTCCCTCTCTGCCTTACTCTAGTCTGAAGCGAGAGATGCGGAAGCTTGCTCAGGAGGACTGTGGCTTTGAGGAGCCCACTGTGGCCATGGCCTTTGTCTACTTTGAGAAGCTAGCCCTCAAGGGAAAGCTAAACAAACAGAACCGGAAGCTTTGTGCTGGAGCTTGTGTGCTATTAGCGGCCAAAATTGGAAGTGACCTCAAAAAGCACGAAGTCAAGCATCTAATTGATGTAAGTGGCCCCCTGTGCTGATGGCTGGGCATGTGCTCGTCATAATCCAGGGTCATCGTTCAGCCCAGCCTGGTCTTGTGGCCCTGCCCCAGAGGGTTCTGAGACTTTAACGGAGTTAGGGTGATGGCTGTGAAGTTGTTCTTTCGTGGTAGATCCAATTGCCATGTCTCAGAGCAGAGGGATAATCCCCTTGGACAAAACTAAAGATCCCTAACATGGAGTCTGGCCCGAAAACTCCATTTCCAGAAACCATGAGGGGTGAAATACTTCTCAGCTACAAACGTCATTGTACTTGCAAAGGAGCTGTGGTCAGTGTGGCCCACAGAACATCTGTTGGACACATTGGCTCAACAAACCTTGGTATCCCTGCTGGTCTGACTGCTATCTCTTATGGGAAGGGTCCTTTGAAAGGAGAGCTCTCATCAAAGCAAGGACTGATATATGCATGCCCTCATCTCCATCTCTCTGTCTTCTTTGGCAAAAGAGAAAGGCAGAAAGGGAGCTAATATCAGCATTCTCCACAACATACACACACACACAGCGGTCTGTAAATCAGGGCATACTAACCTGAAGCAGAAATGGTACCAAATCATCAGTCCTGTACAGTAAATCCTTACAGGAACATGGAGGTGACCATTGGACACCAAATTTGAGCTCAGACTATGCTTACAGAGATATTTGCTGAACAAGAGAACCGGTCCAAACAGCAAATGATAAAAGTATAAATGGTACCATGCACATTTCATCATAAATGAATAGTTGTTGTTAAGTGCCATCAAGTCGGTTCTGACTCACACCAATCCTATATAGGGTTACCAAGGAGCCACTGGTGGGTTTGAACTGCTAACCTAGCAGTTAGCAGTCCAGTACTTACCCTACAGTGCCATACCAGAACTCCAGTTGAATAATATACTGTAGCAAATCCGATCATATTACGATTATGAATGTGAGGGTTGACATGCTGTTTGCAGTAGCAATTAACCTAAAGCAAGAACCCATCCAGTTAAAATTTGAATGCACTCACCAGTTACTCAGTTAGCTTGATTCATTATAATTAATATTAAGCTAACAGCTGAGCTGAAACCAAAGCAGAATGTGCCCTAGGAAAAGCTAGGCTCCCTACCACCACCGGCCTGGTTACTGTCCATTCCTGACTGCGGCAGCCTCGGCCCTGAAGTGAACTGAAGAGGCAGTCCAGGCAGTGGGCCACACACTGGGTGCTCAGCCCTGCTCAGATACACACACATCATGTGACTCTGAAATGAGGGATCCCCTCCAGGACATAAGTCCCTGCCCTGCCTGTAAAATGAGAAGACTGAACAACACAGTCAGTTAATGCAATTCTGAACTTATCATGTGACTATCAATTTAGAATATAGCAACTCTTCTAAATAGTCACATGGTAAGTATATATAATATGTGTGTGTGTGTATATATATATATATATATATATATATATATATATTCGTCAGTCTTAATGTATTATAAGTCTGAAGAATCTTGTGACAAGGTGTCGTTAGATTTGAATCTCACTCTGAAATGTTTACCATCTGTGTGTCCTTGGACGTGCTGGGTAGCCTCTCTGAGCCTGCTTCTCATCTGTAAGGTGGTAATCCATGTAAATGGAATCCTGTGGTCTTTAAGGTATTCCTGCAAACTGTAGGCCCTGGGGAAGGTTCTATCTCTTACCTCTCTGAGACTGAAGGCAGGAAGTGCACCTGGCAGCCCCTCTCTTCCTTCACAGAGCCTTGCTCATGGTGAGGTTCTCTATAAACACTCACTGGAAGATGGACACCCACTGCCATTGAGTCGATTCTAACTCATAGTGACCCTATACAAGGTTTCTGAGACTGCAAATCTTTGCAGGAGCAAACAGCCTCATCTTTCTTCTGTGGGTTAGCAGCCAACAATGAACCCACTGTGCCACCAAGACTTTTTGATTAATGGATGGCAGTGGCAGTGGTGGTTGTGGTGGAATCAATTCCGACTCACAGCGACCCTGTAGGAAAGAGTGGAGCTGCCCCAGAGGTTTCCAGGGTTATAAATCTTTATGGAAGCAGACTGCCACATGTTTCTCCCATGGAGGGGAGACTGGGTTCATGTTGTCAACCACCTTTTGTTAGTATCTGAGCATTTTAACCACTGCACAACCAGGGATTCCTGATAGCCACCTCACACACACAGGAAACCTGGGATTTTCATTTCAAAGCTAAATGCTTTTTGGTTTTCTCTCCTTTTTGCTGCAGAAACTGGAAGAGAAGTTCCGGCTGCATAGACGCGAGCTGATTGCCTTTGAATTCCCCGTTTTAGTGGCCTTGGAGTTTGCTCTCCACTTGCCAGAGCAGGAAGTTATGCCTCACTACCGGCGCCTGGTGCAGGGCTCCTAGCCCAGGCCTCTCGGAGGGGCGCCAGCCGCGGGGCCAGCGGCGTTTCCTCCCAGCCTGTGGGGCAGCACTTACTACTGGAAATGCAAACGTACAAGTCCCAATACCATGCTTCACTTTTCCTCCCAGCATGTGTTTGTGGAAGCAGCGCAGGAAAGTCTTCAGGGCGTCTTGGGTCTGGCTAGCACAGAGGAACTGGGGAAGGAGGGAGACACATGCTGAAGACAGTGGGCCTCCCTAGGCCCAGCACAGCCCTTGGCAAACAAGAATTCTTGGCTGCCCATTCAAATCCTCCACCCAGGCACACAAAGACCTTGCAACAAGCATGGCCCGCTCCCCTCTCTCCAGACGCGTGTGAGCTGGTACAGCAGAGGGGAGAGAATTTGCAGAAGTTGGGGTGGGGGTAAGCATTTAGATTCCCTCACTGTGTCCCAAGAGCGTGCCAACCTATTTTTGTATCAGTTATTGGAAGGGCACTGTCCCGCAGAGTGTGGGGGTGGCTGACAACAGTGAATGCGTGTGTGACAGGGACACAGTATCAGCTCTGGTCCCGGTCCCACCCCCCCACCCCCCATTACAGTGCAGACCTCTGCCCAGGGCCAAGAACCAGGCTGACCTTCAGCAATTATTTCTAAAGCATTTCTGGATAATAATTACTCTGTCAGTACCAGACTGCTTGACACCCTAGGCCCCTTGTGAAATGGCATTGTTTCTGTTACTGCTACTATGACAAACAGGACAAAGAAAATACGTTGCAGTATCGGACCCGGTTGTGTGGCGTGGGCCTTGCATGTGGGGCTGGGTGACTTTCTAGCGTCCGGCAGGCGTGACACCACGGGCAAGTATTGGACCTTCCGCACTTTCCCGCTGTAGGGGTGGCCGGCGTGGCGCTCCATGGTGTGTGTCCCTGTGCTCTATGTTAGAGCGCTTCATAAGCACATTTCCTGTGCTAAATATGTAAAAAAAAAAGTGTGTTTTATAAAAATCCGAAGAAGGGGCAAGACCGTGGATTTAAGGCTTTTGACAGCTAAGACCACCTGCGGTTTGAGCTGCAGCTGAGTGGGCTAAGGAGGTGATGGCTCTGCTCAGGGTCTCCTGCCCCCAGGGCTGTCACTGTGGAGTCTCAGCAGCTGGTTCCAACAGGAACAGTGACAGGCATCCACTGGCTAAGAGAGCCTGAACCTTAGCAGGTCACCATGCAGTCACCTCCCAGCAGCATGAAACGGGGCGGGCAGCTAGGGCCTACCTGACTGAATGACTGAAGAAAGTCTTCTGTGTCCATGTGAAAAGATAATTAAAATATTTTCTTGTTTTACCTATACATATATGTGTAGACCCCTGTATCTAACCAGCAGCCCTTTGCTCTGCTTTACTCGGTCATTTGCCACCATCTCTACCTCACATTTGTCAGTGATTCGGAGATTTTCTCATCCCTCCAGAAAAAGTGTATTTAGCAGAGCCTGAAAGAGCCAGATTGTCATATAGTATAGAGAAAGGTGAAAGAGAAAACAGAATATGTGGCTTCTTGGAGTTTTGTCCTCAGTATTCTGCTAACCTCTTCCTTTGTTGGACTGGTTAGGGGAATAACATACGATCTGTTTGGTTGACTCTAACTCACGGTGACCTGATGTGTGTCAGAGTAGAAATGTGCCCCATATGGTTTTTTCAGAAGTAGATATGGTGCTGTAAGATAAGCACTAGACTGCTAACAACAAGATTTGTGGTTCAAACCCACCAGCCACTTCTTGGAAACCCTATACAGCGTTGCTGTGAGTTGGAACCAACCCGATGGTACTTAACAACACCACCAGGCCTTCCAAAGTGCCTCTGGCTGGCCCCAAACCTCCAACTTTTAGATTACGTGCTAAACTGTTTGCAACACCCAGGGACTCCAAGTTAAGTCAACTAATATTTAAGAAGGTGGTGACTTCAGTTAACAAGGCAGTTTCTCGTGTTTTAGGGGCACTGGACTGCTCATGGTAAGTTCAGCAGTTCAAAACCACCATTCACTCCTCAGGATACAGCTGTCTACTCCACAAAGATTTCTAGCCTTGGTGGTGGTTATGTGCGGTGGAGTCAATTCCAACCCATAGTGACCCTGTACAGGGTTTCTAAGGCTGTAAATCTTTATGGGAGCAGAAAGCCTCATCTTTCCTCCCACAGAACAGCTAGTAGTTTTGAACTGCTGACCTTGTGGTTGGCAACCCAATTCATAACCACTATGCTACCAGAGCTCCCTATAGAGCGTCGCTTTGAGTCAGAACCAGCCAATGGCAGTGGATTTGGTTTACTGTTTGTAAAGGAGCCCTGGAGGCATGGTAGATTAAGTGTTGGCTGCTAACTACAAGATTGGCAGTTCCAACCCAGCACTCGCTGTGTAGGAGAAAGATGAAACCATCTGCTTCTGTAAAGATTTATAGCCTCAGAAACCCTAAGCAGCACTGTGAGTCAGAGCTAGTCTATGGCAGTGAGTGGTTGGGGATTGTTTACAAGGCCAATCGGGAAGCGCCAAGTTTAAAGCGTTCCTATCAGACTGCACTACAAAATACTCAAGTCCAGATGGAGTGGACAATGTCTGTCCCTTACAGCCCCCTGAGTAGCCTCAGCACTCTGGTGCCTGTCCAGCAGGGGCCTTTCTGAGAAACAGGACTGTTGGTACCCACCTGCAGGGTCCCCTACCATACACTCACCTGAGGCTTCTGTCAAGCACATGAGGTCAGAGATGCCAGTCCAGACATGGCCGGGGAAGCCTGCTTCTTTCCTGTGTCTTAGAATTAGGCAAATAATCTTGGATTTAGGGGATTTATTTATTTTTATTTTTTTTAGCATTTATGAGATAGATTCAAGAAGTTACTGATTCTTTTTTTCCAGAGCCTCATTTGCATTTTAAACTGTATTTTGGCCTGTGAGTTTCTTTAGTGGAGTTATGTATTGGTTTTAATTTAGTAGTGGGGATGATGGGAATGAAAACATTTTGCTAAATGATATCCCTTTGTCTATCCATAACAAACACTCTGGTGGAGGATGAGGATGCCAAGGAGGAGGGTCACGGGATGCAGGCCACCTGCCAGAGCTGCCCCTGTGATGTGCATTCTAGAATGTTTCCCAGCCTTGACCTTCTGGGGGCCATCTGGGAGGACTCAGGGAGGTAGCCCAAGCTGCTCAACAGGCTAGTGCTCGAAAACCCTGAGTAGCATCACCTCACTGGTTGCCCTGAAGTCTGTCATTCCTTCTCTGCACAAATATTTGTGGGGAGTTCTGCCCACCCTCCTGGGGAGAGCACTAGCTGTTCTCCCTGACCCAATCTCCCCAGAGCAGCCCTGGGAGGGGAAGAGGTGAGCTGGAACAGGTCTCCAATCATCTGCTGAGTCAGGTAAGAGCTGGGAACCAACCCATAGAAAGGCTGGAGTGTTGCTCAGTGGGGGTGGGTCCATTGTGCCTGAGCCAGGCTCTGTCCCCTCTTCTCCAACAGCCCACTAGGCGTTTCAGCACCTACAGACTACTGTTAAGTGCCGTTGAGTCCGTTTCAACTCATAGCAACCCTGTATGGGTTTCCAAGTAGCAGCTGGTGAGTTTGAACTGCCAACCTTGTAGTTCAAACCAACCTTACAGTCCAGTGCTTATCCTACAGTGTCTCACCCACAGATTGCAGACAGCCCTAATGTGTCCTTGCCCTTGTGGGCTGATCCCTGCCAGCCTGGTGATACTTGGGTAAAAGTTACTACTTTTCCCTCTTTTTCCACCCTAATAAAGCCTGTATTGAAACAGGAAACCCACACCAGGTTCAAGGTGGGGTAATCACTCTGCACTGAGACATGTGCCTTACTGATTTGGGCACATGGAGGTTTCAAGTTGTTTCCCTTCTTCCCCCTTCCTCCTTCCACTTCTGTCCCCCAACAGCACATAAACATGCGTGTTCTGGTTGCTGCGTTCTCTATCCCTCCTAGGCCTTCTAGTCTCAGTGGCCATCCACTAGCCCTAGTCACCCCAGAAGCTCAATCACACCCTGAAGCGGTCTTGCCCCTTTGTAAACAGGCAGGGGAGGCTGGAGAACAAAACCAGGTAATTTTGTTACCTGTCATTTTGTAATCTGGCCTATGAAAGGGCCCTTCAAAGGAAAGGGTTCTAAGGAATTTGGTTAAGGAATGTTATGGCCAGGTCACATGGGGGGTGGGGGGGAGGGTCAATGGGCTGGAGGTGAGGGCCAGAGAAAAAAGCAAATGCCAAGCCCCAAGCACATAAATCTGGAGACACATTGTTAATACCCTTAACGTGGTTTTAACACACAAAAGGTGGCATCCAGCAATGCAGAGACAGCACAACTAGAGGGATCAAAGGAATGATCTGGGGTTCTGCGTACAGACACACACACCAAGCCAAGGGACCCGTCCCAAAACGAATTGTCATTAAGTGCCATCAAGTCAGTTCTGACTCACTGCAACCCTGTATAGGGTTTCCAGGGAGCAGCTGGTGAGTTTGAACTGCCAACCCTGTGGTTAGTAGTACAGTGCTGATCCTACAGTGTCACACTGGGGTTCCTGCACCAGAATGAGAGAAGACACCATTATAAAGAGCCCCACTCCTATAACGGAGTCCTGGTGTGGTGCTGTGGGTTAATGTACCAGACTGTAAAGCCATTTGAACTGCAAGGTCAGCGGTTCAAGCTCACCAGTCAATCCTTGGAAACCTTATACAGGGTCACTATGAGTCGGAACTGCCTCTACAGCACTTAACAACAACAACAACTCCCATAAAGGATGCATTAGAATTCTAAAAGCTCCTAATTGATATTCCAGGAAATGTGGAAACAGAAGGCTAGTTAGGACATTTCCATGGCTAGTACTGTGCTTTCGTGTGGTGGTGGTGGTGTGTCATGGAGCCGGTCTTGACTCATTGTTGCTATTGTTGTCACTAAGTGCCATCAAGTCGGGATCCGACTCATAGTGACCCTGTACAGGGTTTCCAAGGAGCAGCTGGTGAGTTAGAACTGCCAGCCTTAACGG